AAACTACTATAACTGATAAATGAATTCAGTAAGATTTCAGTATATAAAATCAATATAGAGAAATCCATTACATTTCTATACACTAATAACAAAGTAGCAGAAAGAGAAATTAAGAAAACAATCCCATTTATAATTGCACCAAGAATAATAAAATACCTAGGAATAAACTTATCCAAGGAAGTGAAAGACCTATACTCTGAAAACTATAAAACAATGATGAAAGAAATTGAAAGCATAAATTGAAAGATATTCCATACTCATGGATTGGAAGAACCAATATTGTTAAAATGTCCATATTATCCAAAGCAATCCACAGATTTAAAGCAATCCCCATCAAAATACCAACAGCATTTTTCACAGAACTAGAATACTACTAAAATTTCTATGGAACCACGAAAAACCTCGAATAGACAAAATAATCTTGAAAAAAAAAAAAAAAAAACCTGGAGGTTTCACAATCCCGTACTTCATTTTGCCGTACTACGGCAAAGCTGTAGTAATCAAAACAGTATGGTACTGGCACAAAAACAGATACATAGATCAAAGAACAGAATATAGAGCCCAGAAATAACCCCACAATTATATGGACATTAATCTTTGACAAAGGAGGCAAGAATATGCAATGGGAAAAAGTCTCTTCAACAACTGGTATTGGGAAAATTGGACAGCTACCCATAAAAGAATGAAACCGGACCACTTTCTCATATAATACTGAAAAATAAATTCAAAATGGATTAAAGACTTAAATGTGAGACCTGAAACCATAAAAATCCTAGAGGAGAATACAGGCAGTAATTTCTCTCATATCGGCCGTGCTGTAGCAACATTTTTCTAGATAGATCTCTTGAAGCAAGAGGAAGAAAAGCAAAAATACACTAGTGGGACTACATCAAAATAAAAAGCTTCTGCACATTGAAGGAAATAATCAACCAAACTAAAAGACAACCTACTGAATGGCAGAAGATATTTGCAGATGACATATCTAATAAAATGTTAGTATCCAAATTATAGAAAGAACTTATACAATTCAACACCAAAACCCCAAATAATCCAATTAAAAATGGGCAGAAGGCATGAACAGACATTTGGCGCAAGACCTCCAAGCAATAAATAACATTGTTATTTCTTGGCACCCTGTGGCTCCTACTACCCCCCCATAGTCACTGGATTCTCACTGAAAGCAAATGTTTCACTGTAATTGATCTATGCAACACCTTTTTAGTATACCAGTTGATAAGGACAGCCAATATCTCTTTGCTTTCACTTGGGAAGAAAGGAAATATACCTGAACCATAATGCCCAGGGTTTCACAAAGAGTCCTTTTAACTTTTCATGAACCTTAAAAGCTGATGTGGATGACAGAGTTTTCTGCAGGCTCTACCTTGTTATATGATACACAGATGATTTGTTTCTCTTCTCCCCTTCTCAAACCTCTGCATAGGAAGAAAGCATCCACCTGTTGAAATTATTGGCCTTAAAAAAACATAAAGTCTCCAAAGAAAAACTGCAGTTTTCTCAAACTTGGGTTTGATACTTGAGGTACCTGATCTCAGAATAAGGAGTACATTTGAATCCAAATGAAACCCCTCATGACTGCTTAGTGCTGACAGATTACCTTTGAATCCCTGTGACAATTTATATAAAACTCCTCTAACCAGCGCAGGTTTTTCATGGTTAACTGATGGGTCTTACCTAAAGGATGAAAATCATAAATATCATACTGAATATTCTATTACAACTCCTTTTGAAATCACTGAAAAACCACCTTTACATTTTGGATACTTCTGCCCAACAGGCTGAACCATATGTCCTTACTTGAGTTCATACCTTAGCCAAGGATAAAATTTGCAACATTAATACTGTTCGTCGGTATGTTTTGGGAGTATCTCATGACTTTGGAATATTCTGGGGACAATGGGCTGTCCTTATCTCCAGTGGAAATAAAACTTAAAATGCCTATGTCCAAAATGTATTAGATGCCATATTTTTGTCAGCTGCCCTGGCTCTTAAGGTTCCTGGGCATTTCAGACTCACTCCCGTAGGACAAAGTAACCCCCCTCACTGATATTTCTGTCAAACCTCTGCCATAGCTCAAAGGAATGTTCTCCTTTATGATAATTCATACTATTTTTGGACTAAAATGATATCTTTACTAATAGTTCAACTATTAATTTAATAGTGGAAATTTAATTTGTAATCCATATTTATTCAAGACTATGTCCTAATTAAAAATGGACAAGCTGTTAGTGTCTGCCCTTCAGCTTAGGTCATGATTTCAGGGTCCTGGGATCCAGCCCGACCTGGGGCTCTCTGTTCAGCAGTCAGCGGTGTGTCTGCTTTTCCCTCTCCCCTTCCTCTTCATGTGCTCCCCCCCTCTCTCTCTGATAAATAAATAAAATCTAAAAAAAAAAAAAAAAAAAAAGTTTTTAAAAAAATAAAGAGTGTGGTTTTTAGGAGACCAGAAAAGAAAGGAGACAGATTCACGTCTGCAAAGAAGATGAGGGAGGGAAAAGGGGCCTCAGAAGCCATTTTGATGCCTTTCAATTGTTTGCCTCATATTAGAAATAATATCTTGCAAAAAGACAAACTTAGAATCCTGAGAATATTTGGAAGCCTTGAGGTACCATTTAAAATAATCATCCCGGGGCACCTGGGTGGCTCAGTGGGTTAAGCCTCTGCCTTCGGCTGAGGTCATGGTCTCAGGGTCCTGGGATGGAGCTCCGCATCGGGCTCTCTGCTCGGGGGAGGAGGGGGAGCCTGCTTCCCCCTCTCTCTCTGCCTGCCTCTCTGCCTACTTGTAATCTCTGTCAAATAAATAAATACAAATCTAAAAAAAAAAGAAAGAAAGAAAGAAATTTAAAATAATCATCCCATTTGGTTTTTTGTTTTGGAGCCATCGCTTTCTAACTTTGAGTTAAGCAAGTTTGGGGAGATGGAAATTCCCTATAATGGCCACTAATACTCTACATTTTGGTTAAGTCAGTCCATTTAGTTATAAGTGAGCACAGGAGAGACCGATTTTTTTTTTTTAAGATTTTTATTTGAGAGCGCAAGAGAGAACAAGCAGGGGGAAGGGCAGAAGGAGACACAGACTCCCTACTGAGCAGGGAGCCCCACAGGGGCTGGGCTCCAGAACCCTGAGATCACCAGCTGAGCCGAAGGCCCTGAGACCATAGTTTTAAAACAAAACTAGCCAGAGCCTGGCCGGGGCATGCTCTAATCAGATTGATGACTGGGATTCCATTTCCTGGAGGTTTTCCTTTAAAAAGAAAAATTCCTAGACAGCAGTTTCAACAGGAACAGCCTGGTTCCAGAAAGAATCAGACCAAAGGCCAGCACAGTTCCAGTAGGAACAATCCAGCTCCAAACAGGAGTCCTACCAAGGGCCAAGGGAGTATTCTCAGAAAACAAAAAAAAAAAAACAAAGCCCTAAAACAAATCCCAAATAATGTCCAGAAAATTCAAACACAAAGCGTGGAGCTTGAAATCCAGGACAAGACTTAACCTTCAAACCCCAGTGTTGGCAAGAACACAATGAGCTCAGGCTTGTGGGGACCAGCACCTCTTTCCTTACCAGCCTCTGAGCTGTTGCTGGGGGGTGGGGGGCTGGGGGGGTGTTCTTCTCTGGATCCCACCTCTGCTAAGTACTGCCAATCTTAAAAATAAAACTGTCAGCTATCTTACCAGCAAAGAAGTGTTTATTTGGCAACTGCAGAGACTTGCAAACCAGGACAAACAAGCTACAGCAAAACCAAGAAATAAAGGAGAAAAACACATTTTTATAGAGGAAAGGAGGGAGTTAGAAAGGCTGTTATAAACAAAAAGTCGATTGGAGTCAACAGAGAGTTTGAAGTATAGCGGCTTTTCATTGGCTAAGTTGTACGGATGGCCCAGTGGTTGGGCGGTTGCCAGGAAGAAAGAAGGCCTTTGCCCCATTAGGGCAGTAAAGTAGTACCACCTGCAAAGACCCTGCTTTCCCTATCAGGTCTGCTCTTGACAAGGAGGTGAGCGTTCCCCCTGCCTGACCTCCTGACCGTTCCTTTAGGAAATGTCCTTCTTCTTCTTCTTCTTCTTTTTTTTTTAATTTAAATCTTAGTGAGCCTACATGCACTGCAACATGGGTTTCTGGAGTAGAAGTCAGTGATTCATCACTTACACACCACACCTAGTGCTCGTCATAACAAGGGCCCTCCTTAATACCCCCGACACAACAGGTGTTGGAGGGGGATGCGGAGAAAGGGGAATGCTCTTGCACGGTTGGTGGCAATGTAAATGGATGGCGCTACTCTGGAGAACAGTATGGAGGCTCCTCAGAAAGTTAAAGGAGGTTTCTATCTTTTTTCACAGGATTAAACCTTTCCTCCTCCAACTCCTGTTGCAGGCATCAAACTCTAGTTGTCAGCTGATTTTCATAGTGCCTGTGAAAGGGTGTCCAATTAAAGTTCCCCAAAGCCTTATAAATTGTTAGGTGGATAGAAAGAAAATCATTTTTACCATCTTTCTTGGATGGTCTTGAGGGGCCTAAAAGAAAGGGCTGGTAGATAGGGAAAAGCAAAGGTAAGGAGAACATTCTGCATTCTGATATCCTGTTGGAGAGCTGAGATCTCTCATACTAGATAATCATTCTCTTGGAAAACAGTGGAACTTGCTACTTTGGAAATACCTCATCATCCTATGTCCTTGCTGGTATGCCCAGAGTGCCACCCGAGAGGCCCTGAGGGCAATGAAGGAATTTTCACTTAGGGTCAGACCTGGGCTGACGTGCCTGTGAATACGTGCCTGCCTCTTTTAGGCAGGCCCTCATTCTGAGACCCGGGAAGAGCTACTCAACCTCTTCGAGGTTCCTCATCATATAATGAAGGCAATCCATCAAGAGACCCTTCGGGAGTATCCAGGTTGGTGACTGTACCCACACCACCTCTTCTTAGGGCTCAGGTTTACTCTGACTTCTTACCAGGCCATAAGGACCAGTCCTGAAAGAGCAAGGGAGAGGCACTGACCTCGAAATCAGGGTGCTGGGTGATGGGTTGGCACAACGCTGGGTCCTGACAAGGGCAGTGGGCCCCTGCCCAGAATGGCAGCAGGGACAGCAGCAGCACAGTGATCCCGGGGATGCCATGTGGTGGGCGGGCGAGGAGGCACAGGTGACCAAGCTGCAGAGGGGACATGACAGCAGTCACTCCACAGCAGGACTAGGTTCCTCCACCTCCTGACTCAGGTCAAGACTCTCAGCAAGGCGGGCCCTGCCTCCCGGCAGAGCGGACTGGGAGGAGCTGACATGGGAAGGGCTGGGCAGTTTAGGCCAATGGTGACATGAAGGTGGGGTGAAGGAGAAAGGCTGCCTTGGACACCTGCCCGGCAAGCCAGTGCCTCTGGCCCTCAGCAGACCTGTTGACTCAGCCAAGTCAATATCATCGGTACCATTTATAACCCCTCAACACTCTGTACCTTTGTGTCATGGCCCTTTGTACTCCTTGTACAGTTTGAAAGTGGAGGGGGGCCCCCAAATGGAAAAGTAGGGGATCTTGATAGGGATGACTAAGCACCACGGTTGGAATGGGTGCAGTGGGGAGGTGGTTTCTGGAGTTTTCCTGGTGTGCTCTGAAACTAGTCCCTGCACACAGAGGCCAGAGAGAGATGGAAGAAAGAAGCAGGTCACTCCAGGTTGGTACGTGGCAGTTTTAATAAGAGCAAAGGAGGTTACACACAAGGCTTGTCTTGGGTGATGGCAAGATGAATGGATTCCTGCAGCAGCCCTCCAAATCTTAAAAAGCTTATAAAGGGGTCGGGACTGGGCTTAGTCACATATATTTTGCAGGTTTTTTCAATACTGCATCACTATCTCAAGGTTATGACCTTGGAGCAGACTCTGGGAGCAGGAACATCATGGGGAACCCACAGTTCAAAGACAGAGGAGGGGGTGAGGAGCCTCAGAGTGCTCCCAGGTCAACTGGCGGGCATGTCTTTTTGATGACACTCCCAACACTCCACCCCTGGTGCCTCCTCTTCCACAGTGAGCCTTGAGTGGGCAGCAAGGGGTTTCCTTAACATGGAGGCAGCCCTTCTGCTGTCTCTCTGCTGCAACGGGGGCAGATGCCACAGCAGCAATACAGGCGCACGTAAGAGAAATCACAGATGAAGACAATAATTCCCCAAATTAGTGACAACTCTTTCTGTCAAGAGCCCCAGGACCAAACCGCCAACTTATTAAATCCCCTAGGCTGGGAGTTGGGCCACTCAGGGCATTCACCTGTGTCCTCATGTGATTTAATTAGGATGATACGTTAGCAGGCTCATCGGGCATGAGCTGAGGACATTGTTTTGATAATGGCACAGGTGCCTCCTTGTGAGTTAGGAATACTGTCCAAGACCATCATATTTTAGAGGACAGTTTTTCTCATTAGAGTCATTTCAGTGTTCAGGAAGGACAGATTTTGGGGGGCTATCCTTCAGGGCTTGCTGACAGAATTTACTAAGGGTTTCTATGCATGCTCTAACATCTCCGAGCCTGTGGAGGGAACACAGACATCAGCCAGGTAATCACACCAGGGAGACAGTGCCCACCTGGGCTTGAGGAGAAAGGGAGGTTGGCAATCTAGGAATTTGACTCAGCTGTGCATACTGTGCCTGTTGGCCAGGGGACACCGCATGGTCAAGCATGAGGAGATAGACTGAGGACAGAATATGCCAGAACAGGACCCCCACCTTCCCCTCTCTCTCAGGGTGGATGTTCCATTTCAGGCATAATGCATTCCAACAAGTCCGGCTTGCAGCAGGACGATGGGTCCCAGGGGAGAATGAGCAGTTCCTCCTCACGCAGGAATGTGAAGTAACTCGCCAGCCCTGTCAGCCCCACCGCAAAGCCCAGGAGAGAATTCCTTTCCCAGGCATGACGGGGCTTGCTGTTCTCCGCAGCAGAGCATGTTGTCCCCTGGTCGGGAGCTGGAGCGATGGCTGTTTCCTGCCACTTCCACACCTTTTTGGTGTTGGGGGCCTTGGCAGGGGGTCCCCATTCTGGCACATGGGGCAACTGGTCCTCATTATTAATCATTCAAATAATTAATTTGAATAAAACCAACCTGGCGAAGGTAGTTTTAGATGTTAATAATTTGATCTGCTGTTTTAATATTTTTTTCTTTCTACCAACCCTGTTGCTTATGGATCATAAGGGGGATGAAACCTCCCTTTTTTTTTTAGCCCAGTCTTACATATCATGAGCTTCAAAATGTAACTCCCCAGTGCTGTCTGTTTGATGCGGGTACCCATGCCCACTACTCAGTTTCTCTAATCCCCAAACGGCAGCAGCCTGTTGTGCACAACAGCGGGGGGGAGGCTTGGGTTAGGCCAGACACAGTGTCCACACAAACCAGGCCATACACAGCATCTTCACTTGGTGGGGGGGGGCTATAATCAATTGGCCAGTTCTTCACCAGTTGGGAACTTCAAATGCCCCAGATTCTTTCAGCAGTTGCCTTGGGTGTTGTTTAGAACCCACAGGACGGCCTGTTCCCTCACTACTGAAGTCGCTGCACTCGAAGGGCAATTTGGCATCGTTGGCAATACGCCATCCCACCTAGACACTGGGATGGCCATTCCTCCTGTGCACCCAGTCTGCTGCACCTACTGAAGGGGCACTGGCTAAAGCTTGGACCTGAGGTAGGGCATCAGCTTCCCCGTTGTCAGGGGTTATCCATGCCTTATGAGCCGCAGCATGGAAACCAGTGAGGGCTGCCTCAGACAAGATCTTGCCGATGGACTGAAGAGTCTTTCCACACATCTTGACCCCCCCCCCAAGGGCTTATTCGTAATCCTCCACCCCTTGGCCTCCCAGTGTCCAAGCCGCAGGGCTAATCCCTTTGATACAGCGCAGCTGTCAGCATACAGGGTTAACGGTCCGGTCCGGGCTCACGCATAATCACCAGCCAGACCACTCCGTCAACTCCCCCGGCTGCTGAGGGAGAGGCCCTGCCCGGAGGAGCGCTGTGTACATTGCTAGGAGCTGCTGCTCTACGGGGTATATTGGGCTTCTGCCCCCTGCCAGAACTGGGACCAAAACCCTAGGGGCACTCCCCTCTGTCTATCCATATCTTCGGAGTCACAAACATATTTAACCTAAATGTTAGCCCTACTTAGGAGATGCCCAGAGCTTTAGTATGCTCTGCTCCTATTTTTGCTTTCTCAAAACCAGCTTGCTGCTCTGATCCCCAGTCCCACATGTGCCCTTTCTTTAGCCGGCAGAGTAAGAGATGGAGGCACTGTGCCAGGTCGGGAATCAAAGTCCTCCCCAACCCCCGAATCCCTAGAGAGGCTCGCACCTCCTTCACATTTTTAGGGGTTGGATAGGATTGTACCTTATTAATCATAACGTTTAGAACAATGTAATTCTTACCGGACCAGGTGAAACCCAAAACCTCATGGCCTTGAATTTTCTGTGGATTCCCTGCCCATCTTTTTCCTCACAGAAGCTCCAGCAAAGTCCTATGGCAGAGGCAAACCCCTCATGTTAATATTATGGTCACTGATGTACACTGTACTGATGTGAGGAAGGAGACCAGGGATAGGTCCCCAGCCACCATCCCATGACATATTGTAGGACTGTGCAAGTGGCCTTGGGGGAGCACTTGGAAGCTTTATTATCATCCCTCCTATGTGAAGGCAAATTGATCGTAGTTACCAGAAACCTGTACTTGTCAAAGCCTTTTCCACGAATCTCCTGGAAGATGAAGCACTTTTGCAGGAATGCATTTGGCCAAGACAGCAGAGTAAAACAGCAACTCTGCAAGTAACAAAAGACTTAAAAACTGCCATTAAAATCTGATGAGAGCTCCTTATAAACCTGGTAAAGACAAAACATAGAAACCTTGTTTTTAATGTAATTATAAACCTTTGTTTATAATTTTTTAAAGATTTTATTTATTTATTTGACAGAGATCACAAGTAGGCAGGCAGGCGGGTGGGGGGGGGCGTGGGGAAGCAGGCTCCCTGCTGAGCAGAGAGCCTGATTCGGGGCTCTATCCCAGGACCCTGAGATCAGATCTGAGCCGCAGGCAGAGGCTTTAACCCACTGAGCCACCCAGGCACCCTATAATTTTAAAATTTAATTATAAACCTTTGTTTATAACTTTTTTTTATTAAGAACAGACCAACAATCCAAGAAAATGTTGCCTTCTTAGAGAGAAAACCACATTTTAATCTTTTACCAGTGTACTTTTAAAACTTACTTATTCCAATCTCCATCGGTCCTGACCACCCATAAAATTCCTTTCCAAAGATTCCCCTTCACAAAAACGTTCCACGACTTTCTTTTTCATTCAGAATTTTGTTCTAAGTTTTCCCTCTCTAAACAGCCAAATCTCAATTTAGGACAAAATCAGTTTCTTTTTTTTTTTTTTTTTTTTTAAAGATTTTATTTATTTATTTGACAGAGAGAGATCACAAGTAGACGGAGAGGCAGGCAGAGAGAGAGAGAGAGAGAGAGGGAAGCAGGCTCCCCGCTGAGCAGAGAACCCGATGCGGGACTCGATCCCAGGACCCTGAGATCATGACCTGAGCCGAAGGCAGCGGCTTAACCCACTGAGCCACCCAGGCGCCCCCAAAATCAGTTTCTTTTCCCCTCAGTAAAGGAATGTATTTTCATTCCTTTTACCTTTCTCATACACCTCTACCTTTCTCTACCTACAGAGTTGTTTTCCTTATCATTTCAAGCAGTCTGGATTTTAAAAAGCCTCTCCCCACACCTTCTTTTTCTTTGGCCCCTGTGGGCAATGTTTTGATTACCTCCTGGGGTGTTTACATTTTTTTTTTTTTTTTTAAAGACAGGAGGAGAGTTACAAATTCAAGGGACAGAGAAAGAATGTAAGTTTTCTCCTAAAAGCTTCAAGGGCAATTGCTATTTAAAGATTTCCTTTGTATTAAGGGTCAGAAGACAGGCAGCTTACCACCACTTACTATAATCTTTTTTAATTTTTTTCATTATTTTTTAGAAATTTCACCTCTTAGCATCCTAATCAGGCTATGTCACAAGTGCCCTGATCTCTATCTGGGGTATCTTGTGCCCTCCTAGCTTTGAAAAACAGCACTTTAAGATCTCTAAATTTTTATCCTGCTTGCCCATCCTGTTGAATACAAACATCTAATTTTTTTCCTCTCATGCTTAAATTCCAATAAA